TGACTTACATTCATTTCCTGGACACTTAAACTAAATCTTTATCCTAAAATGTAATGAGTTTGTTGTGGGAACTGCTGTGGGAACAGATTTATGTCCCCAAAACATGTGTCGTTAAACACACACACACACACACACACACACACACACACACACACACACACACACACACTCTCTGAAGCAGCCTGAGCTCTGCCCTCATTTACTAACAGCTGCTCTGTCTAGACTTTCTGCAAGCTACAAACTCAGCACATCCAGAGAGGGGAGTGTGTGTGTGTGTGTGTGTGTGTGTGTGTGTGTGTCTACAAGATGTCGAAATGACTGCCATAAATATTAATTAAATTGGGATTTGATGGAATAAAAATCTTAAGGATTCAATCTTGGTTGCTGATTTATTTTCAGTCGCTTGCTTTATGAATATGGCTGCAGCTGAAGATTCGTTCATTGTCTTATAATCTGTCTGTCAGTTTATCAAATAATAGATTAGTTGTTTGAAGTATAAAATGCCAGAAAATGGTGAAAAGTGTTGCTCAGTGTTTCCGAATTACAAGATAAAGTGTCTTGTTTTATCCACAACTGTCTAAATATTCACATCTTAAAACATTACACAAATCAATGAGCCGTTGTCAAGATGTTTGAAGACTAATTTATTTCACCTCTTCACATTTCAAACTGTCTGATCCACCTGGACAGGATTGAGCTGGACTTTATAACTGGATTGTTTTTCGTTTGATGAGTTAATAGTTAGTGGGCGATAATCAGAGTTTTTCCTGCATCGAGGAATTTTTCCTTAGAGAGGTTGTAGCCAGCATCAAAGAAACGTTTTTAGTGCCAAACGTTTTACTTTATCAAACATAACAGACGTTTTTTATTTATCAAATGGTCATAAATGACCGTGAAATGATTTGTGTTGATCAGATAACAGACTCATTGTCTTTACTGCAGATGGACACCAGATCAGTCCAGACAGCAGTTATTGGGACAGATGCACTTTTTGCTGTTGTTGTTTTTTATTCTTTAGGTTCTGCACTTCGGCAAATCCAATCAGAAACAGGATCATCAAGACTAAATTAAAATGCGAAGTCTCTGTTGTAATTTGAGCAAATTTACATCAGTACAGAAAGAACTGTGAGTAAATTAAAGTTGTTTTTTTTAACACAGTGTCCGGAGGCTCAAAAGTAATTTGACAATTGTCTACTGAAAGTTTCTCAAATCTGTTTCTAAATGTAATGACGACTATCTGAGGCCTTGGATTTATGACGAGCTCATCTGTCCACATGTACCACATTCAGCACTTTGCATGAAGAGTTAGGAAAGAATAGAAATAAATGCTGTTTAGTCGACTGGATAAATGAAAAATGCAGCAGCAGAGTCAAATGAATTATGTTAGTGTAAAGAGTTCAGTACATTCAGATGTGCTTCATCCCCTCTCGCTCATTTTTAAGTCTATATTTTTATGTAGTCAAGAAAAAAACCAGGAAAACAGCAAACATGTTCTAATATCTGCATCTTAATGTTTTTCAGAATAAACAAATATATGTATAAAACTAGGCTGCAAGGTTGGGGTTAACTGGTGTCAGTAGGTGTGAATGTGAGTATGCTTGGTTGTCTGTCTCTAAGTGTAGCCCTGTGATAGACTGGTTACCTGTCCAGGGTGTCCCCTGCCTTCACCCTGAGTCAGCTGGGATAGACTCCAGCCCCCCATGACCCGAGTGAGGATTAAGCGGTGCACAGAAAATGGATGGATGTATAAAACTAGCACCTGAACCTACAGTTTTCGGTTTGTGTCGTCACCCACCAGTGCGGCTGAGTTCCCTGACGAGGATGTCTGCCGGGGATCCGGAGGGGGTCGCTGTCATCTCCTCTTCTCCTCTGAGCCTCCTCTTCCTCCTCCCTCCGACTCTTCCTCTGGCCCGCTGATCTGTCCTGGGAGGGCAGCAGCTGAGTCTTCACCTTCTCTGACAGACTGTCTGTGTTCTTGAACACGCTGCAAACAACAAACTGCTCCTTACTCATTCCATCAGGACGGTTGGATCTGTGACACCAGAGTTCTGTTCTGTCTAATCGCTGCATGTGGAGCATTTTTGCTGTGAAAATATTTAACTACAAGTGTTTTATTTAAATGTTGGCTACTCATAAAACAACAAGCATCATAATCAAAGTGCCAAAAGACAGATGATCAGAGGATGAACATCTCGGAACAACAAACGCATACGTCTTCTGAGTTACTTCTGTTTCTGCACATGATGCATTCAGGCACAGTGCTGAGTGTTGGTCATTAGTGCTTTGGTGCTGCAGACAAGCACTTTCTCACACATAATTAAACACATATAGCCAACAGTTGTTGAGTTATTTCAAACTGGACTAAAGCAGAAGACACAGTATTTAACATTAACTCAGTTTGATGAGGACAAACCTGTAATTATTTTTTGTTTTTAATCAGAGAACAGGCTGAACACACCAGTCTGTCCTCTGCAGATAATCATCATTAGGACTTCTTTAACTGGTTGAAACAACAAGAACACACCAACCTGTCAAACGTGTGCAGCTGGTCGGCATCCACGTGATCGCTGATGTTCACGGTCAAGTCTGACACCTGCTGCGTGCTCGAGTTCTGACAGAAACAAACACACAGTACCTGTTATACTACAGCTTCAACACACAAACAGGCAGATTTTTAACGTGTGAAGTCTGATATTAAAGCAGCTGATGTTTCCCTTGATCATTACTTGTAAATCTTGTTTCTGCTGACCCCCAGTGGTCGCTGTGAGCTCTCACCTGACTGCAGAGGTGCACAAGTGTACTCTGTGATTCCAGGTGTGGCAGAGCAAACTTCATACATAAATAAAGACGATGCCGTCGTGTTTATTTGTGTCCCTAAAGGTGTTTCAAGAGATTATAGACAATTACTCTTAATTTACTGACAGGTCTGACTACGATAGCTTAATTAACCAGAGCACTGCATCATGACAAACACAGACAAGAATTCATTCATTCAAAATGTTCTTGAAAAGATTTAAGACTGATTTGGTGGAACTTCTGGAGACTTTTCTACTTGTTCTTTCAGCAGATCAATAGTGCGACGTTTTGGACTGATTGAGACGACTTTAAGTACAGTTTTGTTGTATTTTGAGAACAACATGGTTGATTGATTTTGTTATTCTGGTGGTTGTTTTATTCATGAAGAGAAACAAGCTGCTCATTAACCGAAAACAAAGGTCTGTATCACACAAACACAGCTCTCAGCTTTATTAGGATCTTATAAGACACAAATACACATATAAACCCCAAACCCACCTATGGGTTCCACAGGCATTTTGTCTTAAATAAATAAATACATAAATCACCAACTTTACACCATATGTCAAAGCCAGACACTGAAAAAATGAAAAATGTGCCATATTTCATCTTTCCAAAGGTCCTTAAACTACTCATCCGTGATATCCCATCAGAAAACACAACCAAATCTAAGCTTCAAGTCTTTACATTTCAACAAAATCCTTTTATTCTACTTGCCTCAATGAAAAAATGTGCCAGCAACAAATCAATTGTACAAATCAGCCATTAGTGACTCAGCTGCAACAAACAGTCANACCAGCCTTCACCTGAGTCAGCTGGGATAGACTCCAGCCCCCCATGACCCTAGTGAGGATTAAGCGGTGTACAGATAATGGATGGATAATTTATAGCATTATAACTTTGTCATGCTTCAAAAAATAAATGTTTCTGAAGGTCCCAGCTCCTCCTCTGCTACACAACACTTCATCAGAAATCATATCTAAATCTAAGCCATGATATTTCAATTTCATCACTTTTTTCTAATGTCCCATTTTAAACTTTGCCAAAAATAAACCAGAATCTACAAAATTCTGCACTCAATGGACCGACCATGAAGCCGTCAGTGACTCTGCTGCAACCAAATTAAAACAAATATTCAGGGACTATTTGGCTGAACTGCAGGCTGTTGGAGAGGCTGGGCGAGATGCTGTAAATGCTGATTTCAGTTGTTTTTTTGTTGTTTGGTTTGTGGGGTTTTTTTTTTTAAATATATATATATTTTAAAAAGAGTAATATTCGAAGAAATTTGTTTTAGTTTTTTTTTTCAGAATTCACAGCACTATAACCGTGTCACAGAGACATTTTTGAGGTCTCTCTTCTTCTGGACATGTTTGTTGTGTTTATTTAGAGGTGCAGGACTTCACATTTCAGTGAAAAATGAGCCCAAAGTGAGCAGAAATGTGACGCGAGCAGAAAAATAAATAAATAAATCAAAAATGCCCAGAAAGCTGCTTGGAGTTCAGAGTGAATCTGACCTTAAACCAAGTCATCATTCTAATATTCAATGATTCAGGATGACAGCGTGGACACATTTATGCCCTGACAACACGAATATTGCACACACACACACACACACACACACACATATATACACACACACAACATAAATATTAAATGGAAGATACTGCAGCGGTACCACACACCACCACCGTCACAGTTCTGTTTCCATCACTGCTGACGACATTACACTGACTTACATTCATTTCCTGGACACTTAAACTAAATCTTTATCCTAAAATGTAATGAGTTTGTTGTGGGAACTGCTGTGGGAACAGATTTATGTCCCCAAAACATGTGTCGTTAAACACACACACACACACACACACACACACACACACACACACACACACACACACACTCTCTGAAGCAGCCTGAGCTCTGCCCTCATTTACTAACAGCTGCTCTGTCTAGACTTTCTGCAAGCTACAAACT